CCCATCCTGGCATTCATGGGTATGACTTGGAGGTTACAAGACTGTTGGGAGAGAAGAGGAAGAGGCTTAGGGTCATTGAAGGAAGACAAAAAAGGGGCTTGGGACTTTGCCTGCACCTCATGACTATTAGCTTTGGACCCCAAGTCCCACCACTTGGAGGCCACGTGAGTAATGGTCAAGCAGTGGTAAGAATGCCCAGCCTTGCTGTATTAGTCTGTTTCTGTTGCTTATAACAGAATACTTGAAACTGAGTATAAAGAAATGAAATTTATTTGTTACAGTTTTGGAGGCTGGGAAGTCCAAAGTCCAGGGAACACATCTGGTGAGTGGGGTAGCTCTGCAGCAACTCAGGTTATGATATGGCGAGAATGGGCTGAGCAAGCGATCTAACCTGCTCACTCACTCTCCTTATAAAGCCATCAGAAACATGCCTATTACTCTACGAATGGATCAATCCATTCACCGTGGTATATTCTCCTGACAATCTAATCACCTCTTAAAGGCCCCTATTTTCAAATACCATAATTGGATTTCCCACTCTCTTAACACTGTTACAAGGGAGATCAAGTTTCCAGTACATGAACTTGTGGTGGAGCTGATTAAAGACTGGCTGGATGAGAAAATCAGCTACTGAACAATCGAGGCACGGTAGAACATAATCTGCTGGCCTCCCTGCTGCCTTGCACACCCCACTGCCAGTTCATTCTTCCCTTCCCCCAACACTCTTTACTTTTCTGTTTTTAGTTCTATAAGTTTTGGGACTCCCAAACTCTGTACCTTGCCTGAAATGGCCCATGTTTCAATTGTACCCACTTCCTCTAAGCATGCTCTCCATTTTTTCTGTCAGGCTGAGCTCAGTGTTGAATGAGAGTAGAGAAGGCCTTTCCTTTTCTCACCTGGGGTGCCTTGCCTTAGTAGCCATCAGCTTTAGGGGGGATTAGGCATTGCTGTGTTTTTTTTTTTTAGTATTCCATTGCTTTTGTGAGAACAGGAAGTTCTTCCATGCTGACATTTCATGGAATTGGTTCAGAGTTGGATCGAGGGTTCTTGGGGTTTCTAGGTGCAACCCTCCCATTCTGTGACCTTGGGCAAGGAAGTAGCCTTCTCTCTCGGACCCAGTTTTCTCAGAGAGGAGATGGCCTAGATGGTTCTGTGATATCCACATGAAGAGGAGTATTCTTATCCACATCCTATGTGAACAGGGCACAGTTTCCACAAGTAAAGATTAGTTTTGCTTAGCTTTCCTTTTTGTGCCTTTCCTTCCTGTGTCCCTCCATCCTCATTGCCCTCCATCACTGCATCCTGCCCTCTCTGGCCACCACGCTAAAAAGCCTGCCCCTCTGCTTCCTCTCCCTCCCCCTCGGGCCTTGGGGCAGGACCCAAGGGGCCAGAATTCTCCTCTGTTCAAATTCTCTGCCTCTGAAGTAGACCTCCCAGGTGTATGTGTTTCAAGAGGGATCTATCTTCTGGAGACCATCCCCTTGTCAAATACAAGAAAAGACTCTCCTAGTGACACTTTCTGGCAGGCTGACTGGAGGCAGGCAGGCTGGTGATGGAGATCCTTCCCTCGGCCCAGGGCTTCAGAGGGGCCACGGCCTTGTCTCTGGGCCAGCCTGGGCCAGCTGAGCACCTCACAGTCCTTGCATTCAGGGACTGGCGGCCTGTTTGTTTCTGATAGAAAAGACTTCCTGCACAGTTCAGCCTGCCACCAACCTCCCAGCTTCCCCTGCTCCTCAAGTGCCCAGGCCCTCCTGCCAAGCCTCACAATAGGGTAGTGTGAGTGAGAGGAGGGTTTAAAGCAGGGAGACCCTCCCAAGTCTCCCAAGTCTCCATGAAATGACCCCCTTCTCTGCAGTGGGGACACCAGCCCTCAGAGCAACTAGGCCTCAGGGATCTCTCAAGGCAGGTGGCCTGGAGCCTTTTCTACCCCACAGGGTCTGGAGCCCCAGCCCTGCAGCCTTTGACAGAGGCTTAGTAAGGCCAAGGTCAGCCTATAGCACCCAGAGGCAGGAGAGCACGTTCTAGCTTCCTTCAGTCCTGGGTCCTCAGACTTGTCTTCAGGAACTTTGGGTTTAGTTCCCCCTCAACCCATGCCCTTTTCCAAGATCAGGGCTCTTTGGAACTTATTCTTTTGGCAGGAGAGCTCCCTTTGATGACCGTCTCAAATGAGATGGAACCTGGCCAGGTTGTTATAGGAACTCAGGAGAATCCCTGGAGTGGGAAAAATAATGAGAACACGGGGCCATTTACCATTCAGCATTGGAAAGTAGAGCAGTCATTGTCCAGGTCTGCAGAGGCCCAGTGAGCAGTGGAAGCAGGCTTAAGGGAGGGGGAGCTTGCTGCTTCACTGGGAGGCCTGGGAGTGTTGGGGGTGTTGGGGGTGTGTGTGTGCAGAGTAAGGGTCTGACTAAATTCAGGGTTTAAATGCTAAATCATTCCCTTATTATTTGTGTGACCAAAAATAACACAAAATAAGACAGAAAAAAAAAAAGAAAAAACTATTTGTGTGACCATGAGGAAGTTAAAACAATCAATGTGATCCAATTTTGTTGGAAAACAAATATATTAAGTCTAGAAGGAAAATTATCTTCACTTTTGCAGTGATTATCTCAGTGGTATATTTAAGGTGATTTAAAATTATTTTTTTGTGCTTTTCTATTTTTTTTTTCTGACGTTTTCTTTAAACAGCATGGATTACTTGTGTGATTGGAAAACAGAAACAAAAACAAAACAGCCACAAAACTAACTCCACTTTTAAATGAACAGATTCTAGGAAGAGGCTCTTTGGAATGTAGGAGATGATATTCATACATTTAAAAGGGAGGAATAGTACTTTTCAGCCTTCAGGACCTTCCAAGTAAGAAGCTTTCCTGGTCCCCTGACTGCCTGTGGTTCTGCTGTGGGCCAGGCCAGGGTTAGACCAGTGCGGGCCACGGGTACTTCTCACAGGGCTGATGGGTTGAGGCTGGCCTGGCTGGTTTTTCTGGGTTGCAGTTATTCCTGCTGCTACAGTGCAGGAGGTGGCTGTTCATTTCCAACCCCAAACCCTTATCTCAGCAAACCTTTAATCAGCCCCACTGGGGGCCCTTCCTGCCGCTGCGGCCTTCCTTGAGAAGGAAGGAATGCCCTCCCCTCCCTCACCAGCCTTGTGCCTTGGTCCGAAGGGGAACAGATGTACTCCTCCTATTCCTTCACTTGGTATCTTCCCCCACACTGGGCATCCCTTATGTCTTGATCCCTCATCTGGATTTTGACATAAGCTGCCTTCTCTCACTGTTTTTTTTCTTTGTGAATTTTTTGAGGTCTAACATACATACAGTAAAATGTACGACTCCTAAATGTATGGCTTAAAGAATTTTTACATGTTTATACCCATATAATCACCAACCAGACATTGAACATTTGAACATTGAACACTTCCATTATCCCAGAGGGATCCCTCATGTTTTTTCCCAGTCAGTACCCCCTTGCAAGTGTAACATTATAATGATCTTTACCAATATGTGTTACTTTTGCCTGTTTTTGAGCTTTTTTGTGTCTGCTTTCACTTATCATTGTGTGTATCAGCCTTCTGTTGCTATGTAACAAATCATCCCAAAACTGAGTGGCTTAAAACAACAACAGTCAATTATTTTGCTTACTGATTTTCAATTTGGGTAGGGCTTACAGGAGATGGTTCATCTCTGATTCATGTGGCATTGACTATGGCAGCTTCACAGGGGGCTGGAAGGTCCCTTTCAAGATGGCTCACTTGTATGGTGGGCGAGTTGGTGCTGGCTGTCAGCTTGTGGCCCAGCTGGAGCTGTGGGTTAGGGCCTCAGTTCCTGTGCACATGGGTCTTTCCTGAGCTGCTTGGGCTCTCTGACAGTATGGTGGCTGGGTTCCAACAGAGTGGCCATCTTGAGAACAAGGTTTAAGTGCAAGGCATTTTTATGATCTAGCTTCAGAGGTTACAGCGCCTGACTTCTGCCATTCTGTTTGTTGAGGCAGTCACAGAGCCCTGTCCAGAATCAAGGGGAGGGCACATAGACTTTCCCTCCAGATGGGGAAGGTTCTAGAAGAGCATGGGAGATGGGGATATTGGGGTGGCTATCTTTGGAAAATACATTCTGCCATATTATGTCTGTCAGTTCATCCACATGGTAACATGTAGTTGTAGTTTGTTATTTGCTGTATAATATTTCATTGTGTGCATATGCTACAATTTATGTATTCATTCTGCTATTGAATTATTTGCAGTTGGCGCTGTATGAATAGTGCTGCTATGAACATTCTTATACTAGTCTTTTGGTGGTCAAAGGCTACCGTGTATCACTGTTGCTGTCTCTTTAGCTTTTAAGATTTTTTAAATCATACAATTCTATCCTCATTTTTTCTCTGTCTTGCCCCATTAGTTGCTATAGCCATATGTACTTTAATAGGTAAATCTCTGCCAGTGTTTTTAAAATGTTGAAAAAAAATTATGTAAGTATTATGTAAATTTGTTTTCCTTTCAAAGCTCTCAATATTAAAATTAAGATTAAAGATTCCTTCTGATACTCCTTGCCAAGTCTGGGCTCTTTTCTCCTACCCAGAGGTAACCACTGTCCCTAGTTTGGTGGGTCTACTTTTAGAGCTTTTTTGATGCATTTACACACATTATTATTATAGAAAATATTATTTTTTGTCTGTATTTTGTTTGGTGTAACACATGGCATCATACTGCTTGACAATTTGCTTTTTCATTCAACAAAATATCCTGGTGATAGGGTCATGGAATCACACATAGCTCTCCTTCATTTTTTCAACTGCCCTAGTTCAGCCATTTCCCTATGGAAGGACGTTTAGGTGGTATCCTTCTTTATTATTTTGTGTGTGTCACATGAACTGAGGGCAGGGGTGAGGCCTTGCAACTGTAACCACTGTCAGGACTTGATTGATACTGTTGCAATCCCTCAAGGGAAAGATTTATACAAGCCCTGGATCTGTGCCCCTCAACGTCTCTCTTCTTTCCTCTGCAGAGACGTCTCAGAGAGGCTGTGCAGCTGCTGGAGGACTACAAGCATGGGACCCTGCGCCCAGGGGTCACCAATGAACAGGTAACTCTGTTAGAGGTGGGAGTATGGCAGGTGGGGAGGGAAAGGAAGCTGGTAAGTTAACAACTCCTTCCCTGCAGCCAGAACCACTCCTCTTTCCTTCTGTATCTACTTCTACCTACTGCTGTGTCCCGCCCACAGACTTCCAGCTCTCCAGAGGGATACTCACATCTCCACCGTACCTAGGTCTAGTGGGAAGCACGGAGGCTGATAAGGCTAGAGGGGCCCAAAGACAGTGGTTTGCTGGGGCGAGCTTGCTAGAGCTGGGTGTGTCCATGTCTTCTCAATTTGCATTCAGTAACATTACAGTAGTAGCTTGAAATCAGCCATGATGGAGTATTTACACCATGGAAATTGGCAAATGCTACATACACATCAGGACTTTTTCTCCAGAGGACCAGTTATTAAACATATGTCAGCATATCACTGCCCAAAAATTCAGGTTGAGGGAGGGTAGGATGGGGAGGAGGGAGAGGATTAGGCTAGGATACTGTATTTTTTTTTTTTTTTTATCATGTAGGAACTTGAATTAGAGCTAACCAAAATATTGATCGTTGTGTTTGTTTTGGGGGAGGAGTAGGAGTATGTACTATAGGACAATTTTAAAGATTACAGAAACTGATGGTTAATGTGCCAAAGATTTTCTTTTTGTTCATAAACTTTATTTTAAAAACTTAAAGAATTAATTTTACATTTTTCTCAAAGTAATATGTGTGCATAGTTCAAAAAGTCAAATAGTACCAAAACATTTGAAAGGAAAAATAGTACTATGCTGCACCTTCCTCCCCAATTTCCATTCCTTTTCCCCAGAAGCAACTGTTTTTAGCTGTTCTTCAAATAGAAATCTCTATTTCACACTAATATTCTTATCTATACTTCTCTTTCTCAATTGGTTCTTTTGCATTACCTGTTATGGTAGTTGGGGATTCAGTTCTTTTATTTTCCATCCCTATAAACACATTTCTTTCCCCTGCTCCCCTCCCAAAATAGTTATTGAGGTTTTGGGGCCTATACATTCAGTATTCATGTTGTTACACTTATATAAATAATGTTTACTGTATAGTCAAGTTGGGTGTATAATGATTATGTTTCTTCTCTTTTTCAACTTTATGTTTTATCTGGTGTTAATAATTGCCTTATTTTTTATTGGCATAGTTTCCTTAGTACTATCTCTAACCCTCTATCAGCCTTTCAGTATTTTCAGTGCCCTCTTTCAATCTGCAGATTCCTGTCTTTCAGTTACATTTTTCTTTTCTTTTCCTGAATTTTCCTTTCTGGTATCCACCTTCCATGAGCTCCAGGTCTTCCTTTTTCTTGGTGGATACTGTGATTTTGGTGGAATACCTCTTCTAGTAGCTTCCTTAAAAAGGGTAAATGGGAAGAAAATTTTCAGTTCTTTCACGTCTGAAAAGTTATAATTCTGTACTCAGCCTTAATTGACAGTTTGGCAGAGGAGAAAATTCTTGGTTGACAATTATTTTTCTTCAGAATTTTGAAGACAAATTCTCTATTTTCTTCTGGCTTCCAATATAGCTGTTGAAAAATCTGATGCCATTTCATTCCTGATTCTTTGCAAGTGGCCTGTTTGCTTTCTTTAGATGTTTAGAATCTTTCCTTTATCTGTGAAATTTATTTCTGAAATTCCACAATGCAATCTCTATTAAAATTTATTATTTTGGATTGTTGGTAACCCCTTTCAATCTGGAGACTCCTATCTTTCAGTTCTGGCACAATTTTTATAATGTTTCTTTTTTTTTTTCTCTCTTTTTGTCTTTTTTCGTGTCCGGCCACGGATCGCAACCCTCAGTGTCGCACCCGTACCGGACTGGGACCGGCAACGGGATCACAACCCTCGGTGCTGCGCCCGCACCTCGCTCAGCCAGTGAGCGGGAACCGGTCTGTATGTGGGATCTGAACCCTCGGCGGGAGCGCCGCCGCGCTCCCAAGCAGCACACTGTAGCAGTGCGCCACCGGGCTGGCCCTATAATGTTTCTTTGATAATTTCTTCTCATTCTGGAATTCCTACTAGTTAAATATTGGACATCTTAGGCTGACACTCAGATTTTCTTGTCCTTTTTCTCTTCTATCCCATTACTACAGGCCTGAAGTGTGGTTAGGGACTGGAGGATAGAGCAAGGAAGAAGTTAGATGAGGCTTTTGCCTCACAGACCCCTCAGGAACCAGGCAATGACAGTGAAGACACATGATACTGTAGGAGAGCAGCAGCAGGAGTAACCCACCCAGACTTAAGGTGTCTGGAAGAGGGCTGGTGAGGAGGAGGCTCTGGGTAGGAGTGTTCCAAGCAAGGAAGCACATTGTGCTGGTGGTAAGAGAGAGCAAGTCCCTGCAGAGGAAGTGAACAAGATGAATGTGCTAGACAGTAGAGCAGCAGTGTGAAGGGAGGGCACATGCCTGAGCGGATGCAGCACTATGGCCAGATGCTCTTGTGCAGAGTGCTGGGGGAGCAATGAGACGAGATGCAGGGCACAACTTAAGGCATCTGCACTGTGTGCTGAGTCACGGGCAGTAGGGAGGGCAGGCTGTGATCTCCTCATTCCTGCACAGAGCAGTGGGACTTCTCTCTGGCCATGGGCACTGAAGAGCCTCAATGGCAAGACTGGATACCCCACCCCTCCCTAGGCTGAAGTATTCCTCAGAGCCTTTCACGTTCTTCTCAGAACTGTCAGGGGTGGGTCCAACCTCCAAGCCCCTCTTGATCCTGTGTCTGTTCCCAGCCCAAGCTCCCCTCTGCCTATTCTTGGCGAGGTTGGCCTTTGGGGACTCCTTCCAGCTCCCAGAGATTGGGGGACAAGGCCGCATTTTCCCCCTTTGCCCACTTCAGTAGCTTAAAGCTGCCTGTGCTGTTTCCAGGGCCTCCTTTGTTTACTGCCCTGAAAGCCCCCATGTGCCTCCAGGGAGCTGGGGGGTGGTGGTGACTCGGCACTAGCTGTGCTTCCTGACTCTGGCTCATGTTGGTGATGCCTGCAGTGTCCATCCTGTGGCTGGGTCACACAGTGCACTGGGTGTGAGCCTACCGCTCTGGCCCCCTAGGAGCAGATCCTCCTGCTCCCTCCCCTTCCTCCTGCTCCCCAGAGCATCAGGGACTGGGCCCTGCATCAGCTCTCACAATGCTCCTCTCCCTGGCCTCAATCAGCAAGGGCATGTCAGCTCAGGCTTGAGAAAGCCTCTGCCATCTGGAATTAAGGGCAGTCCCTGTTCCTGGTCCTGATCAAGGGTCACGTCTCTGCCATCTGAAGAGGCCCAGGGTGGCTCTTGATCTCAGTGCGGACAGCGTTCTCACTTGTACTGGGCTGTGTGCCTGCTCTGAATCCTTTTGCAGGTGTGCAGGTCAGAAGCCTACAGCTGAGTCCTGATGCCCATGGACCTGTGCTGGTATCATGGATAATGCTGGGTAACTTGTGCATGCTCTAGTTTTCTACCCAGCTTGTCATCTAGCCTGCCCTCCAGTTTCCGCCCCTCCGCAGTGGATATGCGCAAGTGTATGGCTAGTCTGTTCATTCCTGATGGCCTTGGTTAGTCTTCTGTTAGTGGTGGCTATCTCCTCCAGAGACTATTACCTGTTAAAAGGTGCTACACCAATGAATAACGAGTCCCGAGGATAAAATGAAGATAAGTATAATTTATTCTTTGGTCTTGGCTGATAAAAATTTGATGTTCTAGGAACCCTAATCAGGACTGCAACTATTAGTTAAACAACGCAAAAAACATAAGTGCAGGCAGAGCCAGTGAAGTTTCTGGATATTGACTCTGATACGTGCACCTTTATATGCCAGGGCTTTGCTGGAATGGTTTGGTGTGGATGGAGATGGGTGGGGTTAAACATGGAAGACCCCCCTCCCAGTGGGGCCACCACTCCCTGTGTGCTTATCAAGTGCCAGGCACTGCACTAAGCATTGGTGTTTTATACATATTGTCTCAGTTGGTCTTCAGAGAAACCAGTTCAGTAAGTTCCTATATCCCATTATAAGCAAGAAAACTGAGGCTCAGAGAGGCTACATTACTTGCCTAAGGTCACACAGCCAGTATGTGGTAGGACAGGGATCTGATTCTGGGCCTGTTAGATCCAGTGGGAGGGACATTTCCTGTAAGTTGCAGATAAAAGCCAAAAAGTAGAGTGGAGTGGAGAGACTTATGGAAAGAGAGATAGAGAGAGACAGAGACAGAGACAGAAGTAAGATGAGATGAGAAAGTTGGAAGGAAGTTGGGAAGTTACAGGCAGATTGTGAAAGTCTTTGAAAACCAGGTAGAGATGCTGGATGTGTCATGTGGGGTAAGAGGAAGCTATTGAAAGCTCTTGAGCAAGGGAGTAGAATGCAAGTGGTATTGTGGTAAGAACAGTTTGGTGGCAGTGTCAGGTGAAATGGGGACAGTAAGTGCTGTTATGGACACCCGTTTAGAAGTTACTGGAGTAATGGGGAGTGCAGTGAGCAGGTCTCTGGGAACAACCACAGGCTCCTGAGTGGTGGTTCTTGTCTATCATTTCACATTCCCCAGAGGCTGGGAACCAGCCAACCTTTATCGAGTGCCTACTCTGCACCCAGCACAACATATTGGCTGCTCAGAGCCCCCTTGCAGGATAGATTTCTACCCATAACATGCCAAAGAGAAAAGGCAGCTGAGATGTAAGTGGCCCTTCAAGTCTCCTCCTCTGGCAGAGAGGAAATGGGGTCAGCTCTGGGCTTTGCTGAACATAACAGAGCAAATTCCAGAGGTTTAAAAGTCCTTGCACACTAAATCTGTGGGTGGCACCAAGTTTGTTAGAAGCTGGCTGAAGGAAAGGCTTGGCTGACCCCCTAATCTTACCTCCTGGCCTCAGGCTCTGGGGATCCTGATCAGCACCTGGCTTGGCCCTTATTAGCACAGAACAGGCAAGTGACTGATATTACTTGAGGCATTTGCATGATGTGCAAGATGCTATACTGGGTGCTATAGACGCATTTCTGGTCTGGGTTACTGTGGTGGCCTCCTGGATAGTCTTCCTGTTCTACCTGGGCCCCTCCATCCATTCCCAATACAGCAGTCAGAGTGATTTGTGAAAACATACAAAGGTACTTTAAAAGGTTTGCAGAAAAATGGAATTAGGTAGCAAACTGTTTTTTGTTTGTTTGGGTTTATTTTTGGTGGCTGGCAGGTACGAGGATCTGAACCCATGACCTTGGTGTTATAAGGCTGTGCTCTAACCAACTGAGCTAACCAGCCAGCCTGAAAAATGGAATTAGGTAATATGAATCTTTCCATGAACTTTCTGAAGACCACTTGTACATTACATTGCTTGTTTCTCTGCTCCAGGGATTCTCAGCCTTGGCATTACTGACACTTGGAGCCGGATAGATCTCTGTTGTGGGGGCTGCCCTGTGCACTGCAGGATGTTTAGCAGCTTCCCTGGCCTCTACCTAATAGATGCCAGTTGCACTCCCTCCCCAGTCATGACAACCAGAATGTCTCCAGATGTTGCCAAATGTCTCCTGGGTGCAAAGTCACAACCAGTTGTGAACCTCTGCTCTAGTAGAAACTCTGTAGTGTCCCCCTTTTCCATCAGAGTAAAAGCCACAGTCCTTAATATGACCTGCAAAGCCCTCATTCCTCTCTGACCCTATCTCCTACTACTCTCCCCCTTATTCTGTCCACTCCAGTCATGCTGGTCTCCTTGCTGTTCTCAGAAACAGGCTCACTTCTGCCTCAGGGCCTTTGCACTGGCAGTTCTGTCTGCCAGAGCAGTCTCCCGCCAGATGTCTGCATGCCTCACTCCCTCCTTCAAGTATTTCTTCCAATGTCACCTCAATGAGACCCATTCCGACCACCTTACTTACTGCTGCAACCTCTGTCCCCCTTGCCAGCACCCTCTGGCATTCATATCCTCATATTACAAATGAGGAATTGGAGGCTCAGAAAGATGAAGTAAATTGCCCCAAATCACATGGTCCGCAATGGGAGATCTGGAATTCAAACCTGGGTTCAATTCCAGAGTCTGTCCTTTTGATAAGAGAGAAGCTACATGTATAAGCCACAACTGCTGCCATGTGCTATGCTGCAGAGCTTGATGGATGGTCTTTCTTCTTTCATGTGTCTGTAGAATTGAGGGGTACTTTCACCCCACATAGATTGCATAGGTCCATATTACCTGGGAGTAACCATGGCAACAAAATTAATGGTGAGGTGTAATGTGATTGGCCCAACTGATAAATTAGGAAGTTATTTTTTTGTTTTATGGAAGCATCCTTTGCCTTACAGAAGGATCCCCTTCAGGCTCTGTTTAATTACCTTCTGGAGGTTGTTTTAAATAGGCTCTGTCTCTGCTGCCTTAGGAGGTTTGGAGAAGCAGCTTGCAAGGAGGCAGAGGGGAGGGGAGCAAGCCAGACGGGGGGTGGGGCCTGGGCCGTTACTCCTCCCTCTCGGTGTTGGGGGCTTGGTGTGCTCTGCCAGAAGCATGTTTGAGACACACCCTCTGCCCCTCCTTTGTTCTATACTCTGAAGTTCAGATAGGTTCAGATGGCAGCTCAGCTGAGACGCTGACCATTTCTGGAATCAGCAAACTTCTGCCTTGTTCTAGACACCTCTCACCCAGACTGCTTCCCCACACCCCCTCTCTCTGTCCTCATTCCCCAAGTTGAGAAATTAAGCAAGGTCCAAAGTCTCATATCCACACTGGTTTGTTGCTGGAGCCAGTAAGTTCCAAGGGATCGGGGCTGCACACTTTTATGTTCAGCCGGAGGCACGAAGGGCTGAGCCCAAATGATATCAGGTCACAACTAGGAATTGTAGTTTAAAGTGGAGATGTTCAGTGGGCTGGCAGGAAGGTGACGGGGGCTCCCTATCCTAGATTCTCAGTGTGGATGGCTCATCCACTGCATCTCATTTGGCCTTGTGTCGAATGCTTTACATTCCAGGATGTTCCTCCGCTATAACCTGTGTGTAGGAGTGGCTCATGAAACTTCAAAACAGCAACCAGTTCTTGGCTTGTGGGCAGTATCTGCTGTTATTTCTGCATCCAGTGTTTAACTCATGGGTCCAGCAGGTCTCAGGGAAAGGCCCCGACCTAAGGAATCATCCCTGAGTCCTTGTCTTGGTCTCCCTATAAAGCTGGGCTTGGCATCATAAACCGTTGGACAGGAAGGGGCCCTGGAGAGATTTGCTGCCATTCTCTGCCCCTTCTCCTGCCTGATTAATTTTCAAAACAATGCAAGTGCAAGGTGTGAGGTGGCCTGCACAGGTAGACCATGCAAATTAGTGGTTGAACTAGAGTCAAAATCCATGACCCTGACTGTTGTCACTGCAGCCCAGAGATGGGATGAGCACAAACAAGATCAGATTGTGACTAGGAGTTTTCATTGAAAAATGGAGACGTTCTTTCCACCTCACCCAAAAACCTCCTTAGACTGGTGCCACAAGAAGAGCCACAAACCACAGCATAGCTTATATTCCTTCCTCTCTTCCCTGGAATGCCTCCCCTGATATCATGGGAGGCAATTTCATTTAATCCCAAATGGGTTATGTTAGTTATACCAGCTGCTGTAACAAAGAGATCCCAAAAGCACTAGATGCACTAAGTCAGAAGTTTATTTCTCTCCCATGAAACAGTTCAAGTTCCAGGTGGGCAAGTGGCTGTGCTCCACAGAATCATTCAGGCACCAAGGCTCCTTCCTTCTGTTTCTTTACCATCTCCTTGGCTGTTGTCCTGTCTGCATGGCTGAGGCTGGGCTGCAGCCACATCCTCACTCTGGCTCACAGGAAGGGGACAGAAAGCATGTGGGGGAGGCACTGGCCTGGAAAAGGCACATCTCACTTCCCATCAGTTGCCACTGGGGGATTCAGTCACATGGACAAACCTGACCACAAAGGAGGATGGGAAATCTAATGAGGTAGGTGACCCACCTGCCAGCTACTGTTCTATGACTGAAAGAAGGCACATAGATTTCATTGGACAGTTAATGGTCTGTGCTGTACAGGTCATTAAAGGATGTTGTATACCTTATTTCTATTTTTCTAGTGGTTACCACTAATTTTTTTTTTTTCCTTGTCTTTTTTCGTGTCCGGCAACGGATCGCAACCCTCAGTGTCGCGAATGGTCTGTGCTGTACAGGTCATTAAAGGATGTTGTATACCTTATTTCTATTTTTCTAGTGGTTACCACTAATTTTTTTTTTTTTTCCTTGTCTTTTTTCGTGTCCGGCAACGGATCGCAACCCTCAGTGTCGCGCCCGTACCGGACCGGGACCGGCAACGGGATCGCAAACCTCGGTACTCCGCCCGCACCTCGCTCAGCCAGTGAGCGGGAACCGGTCTGTATGTGGGATCCGAACCCTCGGCGGGAGCGCCACCGCGCTCCCAAGCGGCGCACTATAGCAGTGCGCCACCGGGCCGGCCCTACCACTAATTTTTTTTAACAATTATTTTTGAGTAGATAGTATATGAATGAGATATAGAATTCTAACAAAGAAAGAAACAACGAACACAATAAAATGTTGAACTTTCAGAAGGAGAGAACAGAACTGTGGTTACTAGAGGGGGGAAAAGGGTAGGGGAGGGGGGTTAGGGAGAAATTGATTAATGGACACAAAGAATGATGAATATCCTAATTATCCTGATTGATCATCACATATTGTACTCAAATGCTCATAGTCAACACTGTTCTCCACAAATATGAATAATTAATTATGGTTCAATAGTAAAAAAAAAAAAAAAGATTTGAGATTCTAAAGTAGAGTATAGATGTTTTAGTCTGTTTCTATTGCTTACAGCAAAATACCGGAAACTGGGTGATTTATAAAGAAAATGAAAATTACTGCTTAGAGTTTCTGAGGCTGTGCCAAAGTCTATATGGTGGTGGTGACAGTGACCGAGGGATCTCACATTGCAAGATGATGGAAGGAGAGAGAGGAGAGAGAGACAGACTCTCCTCTTCTTTTATTTATTTTTTTTTATTTTTATTTTTTTTGTCTTTTGTCTTTTTCCGTGTCCGGCAACGGATCGCAACCCTCAGTGTTGCCCCCGTACCAGACCGGGGACCGGCAACGGGATCGCAAACCTCGGTGTTGCTCCCGCGCCTCGCTCAGCCAGTGAGCGGGAACCGGTCTGTATGTGGGATCCGAACCCTCGGGCCGGCGCGCCGCCGCGCTTCCCAACCGGCGCACTATCCAGTGCGCCACCGGGCCGGCCCATCCTCTTCTTTTAAAGCCCTCAGAACCATGCCCCTGACCACCGTTTTTAATCCACTCACTACTGCATGGTCCTATAATCCAATCACCTCTTCAAGGCTACACCTTTCAATTACCATAATAGGATTTCCCACCCTCAGCAGTTACAGTGGGATTAAGCTTGTAATATATGAAACTTGAAGAGGTGATTAAGTTGAGGGTTTAATGGTGGTCATGGGCGTGGTTCTGAGGGCTTTAAAAGGAGAGCACGTAAAAATCTCTGCTCTGCCATTTCTCAATATGATACTCTGCATCACTGAAATTGCCACCAGAGGAAGCTCTCACCAGATGTGTTCCGTGGACTTCCCAGCCTCTGAAACTAAGCAATAAATTTTGTTTTCTTTATAAATTACCCAGTTCCAGGTATTGTATTATAAGCAACAGAAACTAATACAATTAATAATGATAATTCCAGTGAAATCACTGGAGCATGATTTGTAAGGGCAAAAGATAAGCCAGTCACAAAAGAACAAGTACTGTATGATTCCACTCATATGAGAGACCTAGAGTAGTCAAATTCTTAGGGACAGAAAGTGGAATGGTGGTTTCCAGGAGATGAGGGGAGGGAGGAATGTGGAGTTAGTTTTTAATGGGTGCAGAGTTTAAGTTGAGAATGATGAAAAAGCTCTGAAGTTGGATGGTGGTGATGGCTGCACACAGTGTGGATGTATTTAAAGCCATTGAATTGTACACTTAGAAATGGTTGAGGGAGTAGGAGCTGTGGCGGTACGCAGGGACCTGGTTGCGGTGGCTGCGGGGCTGATGATTTCAGGAAACTACTAAAGTTCCTGTGGAAGGAAAGTAGAATTTCGTAAGAACATAATGGATGGAGAGGAGAAAACCTATGGTGGCTGTGAAGGCCCTGATGCCATGTATGTCAAATTGATGTCTTCTGATGGTCGTGAATTTGTTGTAAAAAGAGAACATGCACTAACATCAGGAACGATAAAAGCAGTGTTGAGTGGTCCAGGTCAGTTTGCTGAGAACAAAACCAATGAGGTCAATTTTAGAGAGATCTCTTCACATGTGCTATCAAAAGTGTGCATGTATTTTACCTACAAGGTTCGCTACACTAACAGCTCCACCAAGATTCCTGAATTCCCAATTGCGCCTGAAATTGCACTGCAACTGCTGATGGCTGCGAACTTCCTAGATTGCTAAATAAAATAAATTATAATAAACTGTTAACTTTTATCAGTATTTAAAAAAAAAAGAAATGGTTGAGATGGTAAATTTTATGTTATATATATCTTGCCACAATAAAAAAAGATGGGAAATAGCGTAAAAGTCTACCAATAGGGGACAGTTTATAATATATTCATTCAAGATTCCTGTTAAGATAAATAAGGCTGCTTTCTGTGAACTGATCTGGAAAGATTTCCAAAATATACTTCATGTCTTAGGGGCAGAACGTTGTGCAGTGGTGTGCCAGCATTTAGAGATGGGGGCATGTGGTGGTTATGAGTGGGGACACTGGAACCACTGGATTCAAATTCCACCACTGCTGTGGGACTTTGATCAAGTCACTTAAAATGAAAGATATACTAGTCCCTACCTCGTAGGGATGTTGAGGGGATTAAATAAGTTAATTGGTTTGAAGCCCTTAGAAGAGTGTCTGACCCATAGTACATTTTCTCTAAATGTGAATAAATGAATAGGAAAGGGTCGATGAATGAATCTGAGTCAGAGGCCATGAGCTATAATTCTGGCTCCTCCTCTGCGACCCTGGGCATGGCTTTAAGTTTTGATTCTTCTCGTCTGTTCTATGGACGCAGGTTCTGAGTGTGATAACCAGATTGTTAATGGGAGGGAATGTGCTCAGCAAAATATAAAAGCATGGAGTTATCATGTGAGGCTTTATCATTGCCTTCTGTCTGTGGCACTGGCCTGCCCGGGCCACGTGTGGTGGTGCCATTTGTGGGGTGGGGAACATGTCTGTGGGCTCTGTGTTCCTGGCCATACCTAGTGCCCTCCCTGTTGCCACCCCTGCTGCCCTTCTGCCTCTGCTGATGAGCTGGCATCTGCCTGACTCTCCAACACTGCCCCAGGAGAGGGCAGTCCTTGAATCTGAGGGACATGGATACAGCCATGACTTACAAGTGCACTGCTGTTAAGCTGGACTTTGGTGGGAGGGCAGGAACAGGTGCTGGTGGGGAGCATCTGTTGCCAGGCTGAAGGGGGCATTGTGGCACCTCAAGATGATGTCAGCATCTCTCTTCCTCATTTCGTGCCTGAGGCCTGGCAGTCACCTGGCCAGCTCAGACACTGATGTGCTCCAGAAGGCCACTGGAGAGCAGGCTCCAACCCAGGCCTGGAGGCTAGGAAGCCTGGGTGCCTGTCTCCATCCTGCCATGAGGCCCGTGGGACCTTGGCTGAGTCACTTTGTCTCTCTGAGATGAGTTACTTTATCTGAAAAGAATCTACCAACCTCACAGGCATGTTGGAGGAATAAGGCAAGAGATGAAATTACTTTGAAAGGTGATTAAATCCTTTAAAAATGTTTGAATTGTTTCCCCTCTATTTTAGGCAACCATATTGAGCACATTCTATGAGTCAAATATTTTATATGTGCATATCTCATTGTATTAGTCCGTTTCTGTTGCTAATAACAAAATACATGGAACTGGGTAATTTATAAGAGAATGAAATTTATTGCTTACAGTTTCTAAAGCTTGGAAGTCCAGAGTCCAGAGAACGCATCTGGTGAAGGTCTTCATGGTGGCAGCAGTGATGGCAGAGTGTCACATTGTGAAAATGGCAGAGCAGAGAGAGCAGAGAGAACAAGAGGCCAACTTCCTCACTCACTCTTCTTTTAAAGCCCTCCACCACCATTAATCCATTCACTACTGCAGGGTCCTACAATCCCATCACTTCTTCAAGGCTCCACCTTTCAATTACCATAGTAGGATTTCCCACCCTCTTAACAGTCACAGTGGGGGCCAATTTTCTAATACATATGACTTGGGGAACACATTGAAGTTTCAGTGAGTTTTGGGGGGACATAATTCAATCTACTACACTCCTTGAACCCTCTGTATTAGTCAGATTAAGCCAAGTGCTGTAACAACCCCCAGATTCCAGAGTCTTAACACAATAAGGGTTATGTCTCATTCATGTCTGAATCCAGTACAACTTGGGGACTTGGCACATGCCAAGCTCAGGGACCAGGCTCTGTTCACCTCATGGCTTTACCGTCTTCTAGGACATCATTATCTTCTGTGGGAGGCTTTGGGGCCAGGCCTGGAAGTGCAGAACATCATTTCTACCCACAGTCTACTAGCCAGCTCCCAGTCAGAGGAGCCCACCTGACTCCAGGGGAGGCTGGGAAGTGTAGGCTTAGTTGTGTGCCCAAACGTAAGGCAAATTTCTGGGGGGCACCAAGCGCTGTTTCAGCCCTATGCTTGTGACAGCCCATTTTACTGATGGAGAAACTAAGGCACAAAGTAATTTGCCCAGGCCACATATCCAGTAAGTGGGAAAGCCAGGATTTTTTTCCTTCCCCACTTTTTTCATTATATCCTGTTCCTCTTTCATGATTTACTTCTCTGAAGATACTACAGTGTTTTAAAAGTTTTCTTTAGTTCCTGCATGGTTTCATTTCCTCAGAGTTCCTTTTTCCTTTTACTCCCAGAATTCCTTTCCTATGTATGCATGTGTAGGCTCACTGAGCAATGATCTTTTTCATTTGGGTCCTCCAAATATCAATTTTTTGGGGGGGGGGTAATATGTTATTCTTTTAAAATTTATTTTTATTTTAATTCTTTCTTTTTTTGTTTCCTTCTCTAATTTATTTTTAAATTTTAATTAACCTTTTTCATTGTATATGTTTATGGGGTACAGTTTGTTGTTTCAACATATGCATGTGTTGTATAATGATCTAATCAGAAGAGTTAGCATATCTACCACCTAAACATTTATCATTTCTTTGTGGTTATAACATTCAAGATCATCTTCTCTGGCTATCTTGAAATATACAGTACAATATTATTAGCTATTGACCCCCTAGGGCACCATAACTTTTTCTTCCTGTCTACCTGTAACTTTGTAACTTTGTGCCCGTCTACCAACCAACCCTTCCCCGGCCCCCCTTCCTCCTTCCCTTTCCCTGCCTCTGGTAGCTACTATTCTACTCTCTCTTTCTTTTTTTCTCTTTTTAATCTATCTTTCTTAATTGACCTATGGTAATTGTATATATTTATGGAGTACAATGTAATATTTCGGTACATTCATACTGTGTGCAATGATCATTTCAGGGTGCTTAGTATATCCATCATCTCAAACATTTGTCATTTCTTTGTGTTCGAAACATTCAACATCATCTCAACTCGCTATTCAAAGATACACAGTACTTTGTTGTTGAGTCAGAGGCCTGTATTACTATAGAACCCTAGATCCCATTCTCCTTAGCTCTCTACTATTTTGTGTCCACTGACCACCTTCTCCCCCCCTCCCTGCCCCTTCCCCCCACCAGCCTCTAATAACCACTATTCTACTCTCTACTTCTATGAGATCAACTTTTTTAGCCTCCACATATGAGTGAGAACATGTCAGTATTTCTCTTTCTGTGCCTGGCTTATTTCACTTAACAAATTTTCTCCAAGCTCATCCATGTTGCTGCAAATGGCAGAATTTCATTATTTTTTAAGGCTGAATAGTATTCTGTTGTGTATAAATACCACACTTTATTTATCCAGTAATCTGTGGAAGGACATTTAGGTTGGTTTCAACCCTTGGTTATTGTAAATAGAGCCATGTAGGAATATCCTTGTTCATAAACAGAAGAAAGTTTTCCTCTCTTTCCTGGGCTTGTGCTTGCTCTCTCTCAACCTGGCAGGGTATTTTTTATTTGCTCTTTAAGGTCTCACTCCCTCACCCACTGTGGTGGCTCTCATGGGGCAAGTGCAGATCCTCTCAGGTGCCCAGAGCCCTGCCCCACAACTTGGTACATGGGACCTGTGTGTCCTACCCTGACCTTCCCTGCTCCCAGCCCTCTGCTGGCAGTGGAGGGTGGCAGTGGTCGCTGGGTGGGTGCTGAGAACCTGGTGGTGGAGAACCCATCCCAAGGAAGTGGCAGGAGGCAGTGGGAGGACCATGTGTGAAACTCAAGGCCCCGCGCACATGCTCCGTTGTCCCATCGGTCTTTACTCACGAAATACAAATTCAAAGATAAAGATATTAGGAAAGTCTAGACAGCACCCACACAACTTCACACCCCTAGAATGGGCCTCCTTCTTAGCATGGCGCTGGTGGCTTGTCCACAAAGCAGGTCCTGTTTATGGGTGGTTTCTCTGGGAGCCTTTCTGTTTCTCAGGAGGAGTCTCCATCCTCCTGCCTGCCATGTCTTAGGAGCTGGATGCCAAAAGCCTTCTATAGAGACACATGTTCAGTACTCAGACCTTTGCCTCGTCCCCCTGTGCCTGTGACCCCACATCTGAGCTGCTCTGATTTGGCTGCTCTGGAGAATAAGCCTCTATCTCCCGGGCGGGGGCTTTGGGCCTCCCTGTCTCATGCACAGGGACATTTCCACCTCTCTCCCTGCTGTCTGGTCCCTGGCACCACAGCTTCTTGGTGACTGGAGCATCTCCCAGGCTTGGTGGGCCAAGCCCACTGGCTTCCCACTGAGCCCCGCCTGTGCACACGGGGGGCACCCTTCCTCCCTGGGCAGTGCCGCTGACACTCATTCCTGCAGCAGCTCCCCTCCTGCCCGCATCTCCTGCCTGCTGCCGTGCCCCTTCCCCCCGATGGGGTTTTCCGCTGCTTTATTCCTTTGCTGTTCTTTTATTGAGGATTTGGGAGAAAGGGGAGGTAAAGCCATGCATTTGCTTCACCCACCTGCTTATGTCAGTGAAGTCTTCTGTTTTAGAGTATGATATTACTTCACTAAATGCTTAGTGAGCACCTACTGTGTACCAGGCGCCGTGGGAGGTGCTAGGAGACACTGCTGAAAGGCATGTTTGCTTCTCAGAGGCCAGACTGTGAATCCAGAGGTGAGAGGACCCAGAAGATTATTATTGGGGTGGAGAGTTTGGGTTGTCAGGAGTGTTCCCAGGGCCTGGGGTCGCACCTGAGACAGCCTGGACTTGGGGTGTACTTCAGGAAGGCACTTTCTGGGAAGAGAGTAAAGGATCAGCCTTTTATCATCTTTTTGACCTTTTTGCTCTTAGGTTTCTCACTTACCTTTGTGCTAGCAGTGATTTTGCACTGGGTTTTTCCCTCCTCAGTCCCTCTGTTCCTCAATTAGTATTTTTTAAAAACCTACTGCTTCTAATCTTCCTGGGTCTGGAATAGCACACAGTCAAGTATGTTTGCAATGTATGTAAAATAGGAGTTAATTAAGCTGTAAATTAAGAATTGAGGGACTCAACTGTGAGGAAAGTGCATAAACTTTAATGTATCAATTTTATAACTTCTGTGTTTACTACCTAATAGCCTTCTTAACTTCTGCAGCTTAATTTATATTCCAGATGATTGACACTGCCATATAAATGAAGCATAACAACTGTTCTATTATGAAACTTTAAGCATCAGCTGCTGGTTGCATCTTCTTGCTCCATACCCTTCTTGCTCCTTTAAAAATGTACTGGCCTGGGGCCGGCCCAGTGGCGCACTGGATAGCGTGCCACTTGGGAAGCGCGGCGGCGCTCCCGCCCGAGGGTTCGGATCCCAC